GCATGGGGGGGCCCAAGTGCAGCCATTGCCCCGGAGCGGCTGTTTCGGGGAGAAAAAAAAAAAAAACCTGTTCTCAGACCAACCCTCGGGTTTAATTTTAAGCCAACACGGCGCGGGTGCTGAGCTCCCGCCCCGGTTCCTCAGAGCGCGCAGCAAGGCCTAAACAAAGACGCTGGACGCAAACCATCGCTCAGAACATCGACGCTTCACCAGGAGGCCTTTTATTAAGCGTTGTCGCTTGAGAAATAACGACGCCTCGACTGATTTTTGTCTTTGAAACCGAGTAACAGCCAGCAATCAACCCGTCCCGCGTGCCAAAAGGCAAAACCCCATTTCAAGCCGTGTACGAGTCTTCCATCCGCAGACTTTTAAGACGCAAACCGATAAAACACAACCCAAAACCCAACAATTACAAGAAGTGAAATCGCGTGATCATAAAATAACAACGCGTTTTAATCTTTTGGATCTGAAACAAAACAGCGGGTAATTGAAGAATGGATATGAGCAATTAGAAAGCGGAACTAAATGCTCGGAATTGCTAAGTGGAAAAAAAGGGAGTTCGTCGAGCAGATTGCTCTCTAACATCCAGCTGCTCTGTCAGAACTGCTTTATTTAGGTTATATAGTCTGCTTTAACTTAATTAATAATAATTAATTCATAATAGATTGTAAAAAGCCTCAAGGTCTCCTGAAAAGTAAACATTAATGAGGCCTCCTTGAGAAAGATACTCCAAGTTATCTGCGTTTTATAAGGGAACCGAGGCCCAGGAGAGACACAACTCATCCTCTGAGTCAACGGCAAAGCAAGAAACGGGCACTGACCTTGATGTTTGACCTCGTGGAACGGCAAACCATCCAAATGCCCAATTTGCTCCAGTCTGGAAAGCAACGTGAAGGCTGATAGTTACCCCTGGCTCTGCTGAGAGCCTCTCGTGTAGGCACATCCCCTCCCGGCACTTCTTGCACCCCCATTTCTGAGGAGGTTCAGCTGTTTTCGGTGTCAGCCCCGGGGCCTCCTGCAGCTCCTGCTTGTAATTAAATCTTCACGGCTATGATGTCTCTATTGGCAGATCATATTTATGGGCATATTTTGTTTTTAGCGTCGTTCTTAAGAGTTAAGGAGGCTTTTGCTCATAAGCAAATTCTCTTCTCTTAAATTGTCATCCGCAATCTCGTGCCAATAAAAAGGCACATTATTTCAGATTATTGCCCCCGTGGTGCTTGTAGTGAGTTACTGCGGTAGGTACCGGGTTTCAGTGTTACGCAAATTAGATTTCTTCCATATGTGATCAGATGTCGTACTTCCAAACGCTCCTCTCAAACATGATGGCTGGGAGCCCCAAGGGCATCGGGTCCGTGTGTCCCCCCAAAAAAAAAAAAAGCTTCTCAGACTCCCCCTCACCTGCCGATACGATGTGGACATGGCAAACGGGCCACTGTCCTACGGCACATGCCACTTGCTCAGTCCCAGCCCCAGTCCCTAAAAGCTTTGTTGTTTTTCTTTCCTCCTTCCTGACTGATGCATGATGAGAGCAGAGAGGTCAGGAGCACCTTTCAGCCGTGCCTTTATTTCAAGGGAAAAGAAAAGGCAAAAGGATTGAGGGCCCTTTCAGGAGCTGCTTTATTGCAAAGTAATTATACTCTCTTTTGTTTGCGTCGCGGAGGGGAGGGAGAAGCCTTGAAATGTCTCATCTGGGAAACCGTTAATAGAATTTATGCTAATTTGATGATTCCGGCGATTACTGGCGGAAGCACTTCACATTTTCAGGCAGCAGAAATTCTCCTCCAATTCCTTCTGCAGTCTCACTCCGTTTGGTCTTTAGCCCATTCGCCTCCTCCAGGCGCCAGAGACTCCTTTGCTGGGCAGCGCCCGTGGACTCTACAAGGTGACCAGGATTTTTGCTGATGACGATGCCAACAGGCTCCCTGGGGACCTCAGGCCTCGATTTTTTGGGGCAGGACGCAAAAAAAAAAAAAATCTGCCCCAGTGCCTCACTGTGCTAGCAAGCAGCCCTGCAGTAACAAACCTTTCCCTCCCAGTTTCATCCTCTGGTAGAGCTTCGCAAACACAATTCTCTGTGCCCGGCTCTTGCCTAATTAACTCCAGAATTGCAAACCCATTTGTGCCGCTTTGTGCTCAGGGGAAACCTTTATTAAGTTCCTTTTAATCCAAAACCGGTTAGACCATGATGGTTTTCATGAACGGTTATTCAATAAAAAAAAAAAAAAAAAAAAAAAAAAAA